CCTTGTGCCGTTACCAACAGAAACGTTCTTCCAAAAAAAAAGAGGGGGCACCGCAAGCTCTGTGGAGCCCTGGGCGGCAGAGGAAAGGAAGCTGGAGGGAGGTGGTGATCAAGGGAGGATGGGGGAACGGCCCTCATTACTCTAGGCATGACCTGCCTATAAAGATGCTCTGTCTTTGGGAGCCACTTCCTAGCTATCAGCAGGGAAGGGCCATGAGCCCAAACAGAAGGCACTTTGTGCTGCCTGCCAACACGTTGTCTGGCTCTCAGGCTTTCAGGCTTCCTTTGCCAGGGACTTGCTTCCAGCCCCTCTGGCTCCCCACAAACCTCTGTGTGTTGTTGCACTGATTGACACCAATGCTGCTTGCTGCCAGCCCCAGGTGGGCTGAACTTTTGTTCTCCTGAAAATGTGGCACCGGTTGCCCAAGGAGAGCTGGGGAAGTACGGCACCAGTTGCCCAAGGAGATGCATTCTTTTCCCACTCATTCCCTCGCCAAACTGCCTTTGTCTCCCTGACCTGGTAAATCCAATTGCTGCGTGAACCAAAGAACCACCTTACAGTCCTGGGATCTTTCCAAATGGCCTGTTGTTAGTCCAGTGAGGTGTTGGTGATGGGTGCTCATTTGCTGTGGGATGCTGCACAGATATCCTTCGAGAAGGTAGCTGTTCCATGGGGGGAGGGGATATAGTTCCCTAACTGTTAGTTCCCAATATTTTGCATCTGGTATCAAAAGTACATTTGCCCTACAGCTGCTGGATGACATCTGTTACTTGCCTTGGAGGTTTTAAAGGAGAGACTATATAATTCCTTCAGGCTTTTCTTTAGAGACACTATTAAGCTTTGATGATTGTTGTGTTGGTAATAGAAGGCTTTTTCAACTCTGTTACCTTTCTAGATCTCTCCCAGCTCTAGAATTTTGTGCATCTCACAAAATTTTCAAGAGCTTATTCTAAAGAATATTCTGGCCCAAAAGAAACCGGAGTGTCTTCTGTGGTCATGTTGGGAGGAACCACATTTGCTGAACATTTCATTTAAAGACACATGAATCTCCCAGGGCTGACATTGGCAATCCTAAATATGAGTACTGGATCTGCTTACAAAGAAGCAGATTCCCACTGTGTGTCCAGCACTTTTCTTGCCTTTCAGGACAGGACTCCCTTCCTCATCATGGTCCCTTTGTTTTTCACATCCTGCTGACAGCACTGTGTGCTCTTCCGCATTATATTAAACCCACTTGACTTTAGTTAACAGGGTCTTCATATGGCTGGGCTGCCTTTTTTCTTTGCCCTTGCTGGCTTCTGCTCACCTATCACTTCCTTTAGCTTCAAGCACAAGGGTGCAAATACAGCCAAGCACAGAGCCAAGCTTAGACACAGACTGCAAGAGAATGGGATGAAGTTTTGCACTAAATCCCCATGGGATGCAGAATGCTCCCAGCCTCACGGCCTGTATCTGGTGTGCCATGGTGTATGGCAGCCCAATGCAAAAGCTGTGTGCAATTGCATGCTCAGAACAGTTGATAGCGCTATTTGTAGGCCCTGATGACAATGCCAAGTGCTCCCAACCCATGGATCCAGTCTGGATTTCCTCTGCTTTAGGCCATGGGTCCTCAAACTACGGCCCGGGGGCTGAATCCGGCCTGCCATGCCCATTTATCCGGCCCGCCATGCCCATTTGGACCTGCTGCCGCCCACCTCGCCCCACGCACGGTTTGCTTGCTCAGAGAAAACGATTTCCAAGTGAGCAAGCCGCTGCCTCGTGTGCCCACCTTGCGGCGTGTGCCCGCCTGCGCCTTGCCTCCCCTCTCCACCTTGCCTCACCTCGCCTTGTCGCACACCCTGCCCCTGCCCCTGCGCCAACCTGCGCACACTGAAGGCACCCCCTTTCTGGCCCGCACCCAGCACCAGCAGCTTTCAACTGGCCGCCTGGTAAAAAAGTTTGAGGACTCCTGCTTTAGGCCCTAAGTCAGACTTATCAAAGGTATACCAAGCACCTGAGGCTTATACTTGGAGGAGGCTCTTTTAGGAAGTTTGGTATAACTGGGAAAAGAACGGGGACCATGGGACTTCTTGTTCCATGATGATGGTATCAAGTGGAATCTGCTGGGTTTGCAACCCTGCAGAGTTAGGTTTTAGCAGCAAACCCCTTGGCACCCTGGTGGTGGAGGGGCATGTGCACGTATCTGGAAAGGCTTCTCCACTGTGGCAGTGCTGCTGTCTTAGGGAGCCAGGGGCAGAAAAGTGGGTGCCCTTCAGCAAGTAGTGACAGGTTTCTGGGAAGAATGAAAGCCCGCTAGCAATGTAAAAAGGGCTTATCTCAACTCAGCTTTCTGTTCAGAGGAGGCTAAGATTTGTCTGTCTTAAATGAAATGCAAGAATTATTTGGTTTCCTTTAAAGTATTAGGGTGAATGCATATTTTAGAAGGCCATGACTGCAGTCAAGATTGGCTAACTTAATGGAGCGAGCAAGGAGATAATTTTACAGAGCTGATCTCTCAGTGATGAAGGTAGCTTTGCAGTACAATCCTTTACATGCCTGCTGAGAAGTTCCATTGAGTTCAGTGTATTGCACTTCAGGGTAAGTAAGTGTGTATAGGTTCGAGCCCTAAACATTTTGCAGGCATTTCTTTTATGCTGTTCGTGTATTTTGTTCTAGTATGCCATAGCTAATGTTTTCCTGTCCTTGTTTGTTCCCACTTACTTTTTCAACTTGCTCTTTCCTCTTATCAGCTGGTTTTACACCCTAGAAAAGGATGTGCCTGGGAACTAAAGTTTGTCATCACAATGGGCCAAATAATGAACTTGGCTGCTTGAAAACAGTTGGGCTAGTATTTTGCTGCTTCAACTCTTGTTAGCATCTTTTTGATATGTTAAAAGGGGGCTGCAATTAGGCCATCTGAAGAGAGTAACTGGCAGTGTTGAATAACAAATATGCTCACAGTTATTTATTTATTTGCTTTCTCTTCCACTGAAAAAGAAAACTGAAGCTTGCACTTCCTTTGGCTGGCAGTAGGCGGTCCAGTATCACCTTACCCATTCACGTTTCCTTTCTGCCTTTTACTGGTACTGCTACTCTTAAAGAAACACAGGCGAGAGGGGAAGAATTTGCGTCGTTTTGTGTGGAGGGCAGTTTACTGTATCTCCTGAGGCGTTTCCAGTTTCCAAAGCTGAGTCCTTGCTTTCTGTACTCTAAGCTGCCAGATTCTGCAACAAAGGACTCTGGTTCTGCCAGCAAAAAGTTTTGTTAACATAATTCTGACTACAGATGTTGCCTAGATATAGTGAGTGATTATGGTGTTAGACTAAGAGTAGGAAGAAGACCTGGTTCAAGAACCTACTAAGCCATGAACTTCACTTGGTGACCTAGGGCCATCTCTCAGCCAGACTTCCCTCAGCAGTGTAGCTGCAACCATGAAGGTACAAGGGCAGGCGAGAAAGGTATGTGCTACTTTCAGCCTTTTGGAAAAGAGGTCGGTATAAGCCTACCTTCTCTTAGCACATTTCCTTACCTTAGTTTTCAGAAAACAAAAAGCAAAAGCTGATAGAAGTTTGGCAATATATATTGGAATTGTTTGGCAGCAGTGGGGGTGGGGGTTAAAAAATGAAGAAGAGCTGGGAATGCTGTAGGAAAGGCGGGAAATAAGTAGGAGTCAAGTGAGTGCCAGCTGCCAGTGAGCAGTTGCAAGGTGCTAGGCTTGGCAGAGGGTGGAAAAGAGAACACAGCAGGTATAGGTATGTGTTTCTTCTTAGCCCCCGATTAATGGCAGGATCTGCACATCAGTGGGGTGAGGGGCTTAGATTCGAGGGCATGACTTCCAGGTAAGGTCCAGGTGCACCGCTCACTTGACCAACTAAAGACCAAGGGGGCTGATCCAAGTAACTTTTCTGCCTCTAAGCCTGGACGCATTATTGCTGCAATCTGGAGAGCTTTGCTAGGCACTGCATTTAGTTCACCAGATGTGGAGACAGCGGGTGGAGGGGCTTGCACAGCTGTAATTCAGTAGACAGGCAGTGGCCAGGTTCAGGTAAGAAGTGCAGTTGGAGAAGAAATGGGGAGCTCATAGGATCAAGAGCTGGGAATGAAGCAGGAAACAAAGTTCAGTCTACAGCATGGGCAGGTGACCTTTTTTCTGTCAAGAGCTGCATTCCATTCTGGGCACCTTGTCAGGCACCACAGGATGGCAGTAGATGGGTCTAAAGTTGGTGGGTCGCCCCTTCCTCTTTTCCTCTCCTTGCCCAGCAGTCTGCCAGGGGAGGGACAGAGTGCTCTTGCTGCGTCAGGCTACAGTGTGGCTCTTGTTGCAGTGGGAAATCATGAGAGCAGCTTTGTGGGTGGCTGGGCTTAGCCTGATTGGGCTTTTTGGCCTCCACATGCTGGGGCTTGAAACTGGGCTGTGCTTCCTATAGGTGCAAAGTTGAAATGCATGGTTTTGTGTTTGTGATTAGCCTTTCTTAAGGCTGAAATTTCTTCATGTATCTAAACTGGTTGATGCATCTGTGCAAGGGAAGTTGCATGAGGATCTCACCTGAGATGTATCCACAGGTGGCAAAGTGGGGGATTTGCCAGTCTAGGCTTCAGCATTGTGCCCTTTTGCAAAGTGACCCGTGAAGTGTAAAGAAAGATCCCGCGTGGTTCAGAGGGGATGGCAACTCATGTTTTCCAGCTCCTCACCCTCTGCTTCTCACAAACCAGCATCAGAAGTGGTGCCTTTCCAGGCACCAATGAAGGAGGAGCATTTGCTCACTGTTCCCCACAGGATGTGTGTGAGCTCAACTAGACTGCTACATAATATTTGCATAGGGACTAATTTTTAGATACTGACAATATAAAGTAATTCCAGTAAATTCTATTTTGCCTGTGATGAATGACTTTTGTACACATACCTTCTATACTGGAATATATATACTGATGTCTGTTTCTTCCACGGCTTCTCTGTACTAAGCCTTTGATGTAATTGTTTGATCAGGACAATTGTCTGATAGACTGGTGTTTCTTTGCAGATACACCACTGCTAGGAGACCAGATTCTGCAAATTCCATCTCCACACTGTGGCTTGCTGCTTGCCTGAAAGCTAACGTGTCAGAGAAGAAGGGAAAGGACTCACTTTAGAGGGCAAAGATGAACTCCACGGAGATTCCCATCCAGACGGAAATGGTAGAGCTGGTGCCGAATGGAAAACACGCGGTAGTTGCCTCATCGGTCCCCTCCATAGGAAATGACAGGTGAGTTGTTAGCGATGGGAAGATCCTGAGCTGCCTGAAGAAGAGCCAGTTTGCTTCTGTGTACTCCATTGTAAAATCCTGTTCCTTTTCAGGAGAATAGAGAATATTTACACCCTAGTCCACACACGCTTGTACGATGCCCCTCATTCCCAGCCACACTGTTATTTTCCTGTGCTGGTTTCTCTGCTCGTATTCCAGCGATGCAGATGCTACTGAGTCCTGACTGGAGGTCCCCTTCCTTTTCCTAGAAATGTGAATTCTCTCAAAATGCACAGGACGCCACCTGTTTACTCCCAACCATGAGCCCAGCCCTCATTCAGTAACCAGTGGCTTTTGGGCACCCAAAGCATCAGAGTAATTCAGATTCCAAAGAAACTGAATGTAACTAAGAGCATATTGAGCAGAGAGCAGGCAATGCCTTTGCACAAGCTGGAGGCCTTGAGACTTCACATGCATTCATAAGTGCTTGCCTGCTTCTTATTTGTTGTATGCAACCTTCAGTGTGGCAGCCAGATATGAAACTGCAAGGCAGCTTCAGGTATTGCGATAGCACATTAACCTGACACTTGCATCACACTGTGCTTGTGTGATTGTGATTCTTCCCCAAGATGGTACGCTCGTTGCTGCTGTCTGAGGAGCGGACCAACAGTGGGGGACCTGCAATGCCCTACCTGCATACCTGCACCATTTGATGCATCTTTTCATGACCATAGGTATTATTTTTATAAGTATTGTGCTGTGCAAGTGTAGCATGGCAGTCCCAATGCAGGCAGGCTTTGTTTGTTTTAAGAAAAACAGCTCCGCGATATACATTTTCCTGCTGCGTTTGAGGTAGCTTTCACCATCTAGAAGAGACACCCTCACCATGTTGTGAGTGTATACAACAAAAGCTAGAGGCAATTGTGGCCATGCTTTGGCTGACTGTGTGGAAAGACCCTTGGATAATGGAGATGCCACTGTCTCCCAGTTTGGCTGGACAAGTAGCCATCACAAGAGCAGAGGAAGAGCCATTGTTGGACAAGACCGAGAGTCCACCTGGCCAGCATTCTGTTCAAACAGTGGCCAACCAGCCGTCCATGGGAAACCCACTAGCAGGACATGAGTGCCTTGGCACCCTCCCACCCTTGTGCTGCAGCAACCGGTATACACGGGCAACCTGCCTCAGACACTGGAAAGACCCTATAGCCATCAACACTAGCAGCCATGCATAGCCTTCTCCTCTGTGAATTTCTCCAGTCCCCTTTTAAAGACAGCTACATCAGTGGCCATCAGTGGAATTCGGTAGCGAACTCCATAGTTTAACAGCAAGTACAATAGAGACAATTACACAGAACTACACAGCCATTCATTCCCAATAGCCGCCCTATGAACCAAATCTATCAATAAGGAACTTTCCAGGAGAAGGCTGCTTAGGGTAATGGAGCTTGTCCATTCTTATTGTCCTGTTCCAGATTTGAAGAGAACCAGACAAATCTGCCTGAGAGGGAGGAGTTCCTTCCACATGGCGTCGAAAAGAAGCAGACAAATTTTACAGATGTAAGTTTGCTTGGATCTGGGCAGTTAGCTGCAGCGTGGATATTGGTTCAGAAATGCCTGTGCAAATGCCTGTGCAATGCCTGTGCAACTGAAGCAATCAAGACCCCTCTTGATTGCTTTAGTTGGGGGATGTCAAAGCGGGGTGGGGGTGCAAGGCCAGCATATATTCTGCAAATGGGCTGGACAATAGCCATTCAAATCCATTTCAGTCATCCGCCCTTAGTATGTGATCTACGAGTCTGGGAACAGAGAGCTTCTGAGACAGGAATGGGGAACCTGACCCTTGTGGGGTCCCACTTTGGCCCTGCAGAGTTCCCCAAATACTCATGCCCGTTTTCCCTGGCTCCACCCCCTTTCCCCCAATTATTGACCATTTACTTCCCATTCTAAGTCACTGAAATGCCTCTCCTAAGGCACTGGGAGCTTTAAATGGAAAGATGCAGGTGTTTTTGGTATCCCCCTCCCAGCCCTTCTGGCTTTGGCTTCAGCCCCCTGAGAACTTCTCTCAAATGGGATTTGGCCTTTAGGCCAAAAATGACTCCCCACCCTTGGAGCCAAACCCAGCTTTGGTCAGGGACTATTTGATCGGTTTGTCTTGCACACAAGGGCTGAGGGGGAGAGAACCGGGGGGAGGGGTGGCTGCAGCTGGGGCAACTCTAACATGGCAGGGCTTGCTTGCGGGCCCCCAGGGGGCGGAAGTGGGTTGGGCTCTGTTCAGATCGGCCTCTGGAGAAACAGGCAGCGAACCGTGGCCCAGGAAGCACATTTGGGCTTCACTGCAAAGGAGATTCTGCCATTCATGGGAGTTCCCCACAGTAGCCCTCCTGGTAAGGATCATGTGGGCAGGGGAAGGTGAGGGGCGGCTCAGGCACAGGAGAGCAGTAGCAGCCCTTGCTGCTTCTTCTGCAGGCTGTCGGGCGGCGAATGGGGTGATCTGGCAAGGGAGCCTCTTGCTGGAGTCCTAGACTCACTCCTCTCTTACTTCCCTTGCAGTTTGAAGGAAAGACCTCTTTTGGGATGTCTGTTTTCAATCTCAGCAATGCTATCATGGGCAGCGGGATCCTGGGCCTGGCATATGCTATGGCCAACACCGGCATCCTCCTCTTTCTGTAAGTGCCGTGCCTGCATCAGGAGAGCTACGGAAATCTCTAAACAAGTTCCTTGAAATATGAATAGTGTGTTCAGTGCCCTTTGTTCTGCTCTAAATGCTCCATTTCCAGATTATTTTGAACTCAACCTACTGCTTCATGACACAGGTATTAATGTAGCTGCTGTAACGCCCCGTCAGTGTCATAAAGAGCTCTTTGGGGCAACCATTCCACCAATCATCCCTTTGATCCTGACCATTTTCCATCCTTTCCTTTTCTACTTTTGTTAGAACTTTTTAAAGGCTGTCTGCACATGAAGATGCTAGATCTGGCCAACATAGTTGGCACTATGATCACTTACTTCACCCTCAATTTCCCATCAGTGAACAAATGATGCCCCATCTCACATGCAAATTGGCTTCCAAGCGGATTGCTACTCAAAAGAAGAACTATAATCTTCCGTTTTTTCTTATTTTTATGGGAAAAGGCCACAAAAGCCAAGCTTCAGGTGTAGCTTAATAACCCCTTTTCAGACACAATGAACTCAGGCCCATAAATGCTGGGTTCTTAGTCCGAGAACAAGACAGGTTTCTGCATGCAGGTTTCTCCTCTCACTTGCTTCGCATCAATACTAAAATGGTGGCTTTTTTTGATGTCAGCATGAAGATTGTGGTGATTTGTGTAAAGCACAATTTCTTGTTAGAGCCTAAGTAGAAAGTTAGACTTCTCTGCTTACTAGCAAGCATATGAAACCAGCCTTGGCTAGAACAGGAACTGTGAGTAGGACTGCACTGCAGTCTTAATGCCAAAGTCAAATATATAAGAAGGGCAAAGGGGGGCACATGGCTTGTTTGGGGGTTGTGAAATCACATGGTATCAGCCTGGAATTGCTGCATTTGAATCAGTCCCATGATTTCATGACAGGGCAATCCAAGCTCAAATTGGACAAAACATTCCCTCTGGAGGACTTGTGCAGAAAGATAGGATAGAAGCCTTAACAATGACTAAATAAATGTGACATGTAGTATTGATCCAAGCTGGGGACTAGATGGCATCCCTTCAGACCTTGTCTGTCGGCATTCCAAAGCAATCGTTACATCAGTTTGCCTGCTTAGCCTTTTACTCCAGTAGGCCTAGCATTATGCTGGATGGCTGCTCCATGGTCAAGACTGACATATACAGAAAGCATATATCCTTGCTTCTTGCAGCCTGCATAAAAGAATGAGTGTCCCTTAAACTGTCCTTCTGTATTAAAGAAAGGTTTTGCCTGTATTGGTGTCCAGTGCTCCTACTCCAATGTTCTTGCTTGCCTACCAAGCTAAGGTCACCGCGAGGCCAGCTCCTGAGCCCGAAGACAACTAAGCTGTGTGCACAATTGGAGTTTGTTAGGCTCTCACCATGTGGGCAGCAGCAGGTGGGCTGGGGCAGGTTGGGGTCACCTGCGGAGAGGCGAGCAGGACTATAGTCCATTGATGGTTTGGGGACGGAGGTGATAGTGCTGAGGCAGGCAGGCTTCCTGCCGTGGGCTGCTGCAATGGTTCCCAGGCCCCTTCTTTTCTTCCTTCTCCAGGCTGAAGCCAGGAGGGCCTGGGCCTGGGCAATGGTGCATAATGTGTCCCTTTGACAGAGGGAACCCAGGCAGGGCCTGGAGGAGGGAACACTGGCAAGCTGAAAGACTCCAGAGAGGGGTGGTGGGCCGGGATCATGGGACTCCCACCTCCTGAGTGACAGTGTGAGGTTGATGCAAGAGAAAGCTGCCTTATGCGAGGCAGTACTCCTGGGTCCATCCGAATGCAACAGAGAAAGAACGGTGCTTCTTTCAGAGGGTCCTTGCCATGGTGCCCCCCCCCCCCCGCATGCACCACCCCTGCTTCCTGGCAGTGTCCTTGGAGGGAGGGAAAGCCCCTCTCCATGCAGCAAGTGGCACGTGATGACGTGGCCTCGCTGAGTGCTTTCCTCTGACGCTCTGCTTGACGTCTGTGCCGCTGTCTGAGGCCAGCAGAGTAAATGAGACAGAGGGCAGGGCCGACTCCTGGCCTCTGGCGAGGTCCGTGCACACCATTCATTCTGCTATTTGGCAGCGCTTAAGAGCACCACAGCTGTCAGCAGGTGTTGACTTTCCCCTCATTTGTTATCGATTTCCCCTTTCCCTCCCTCTTTCTGGATAGGATCTGCACTCACAGCTATGCAAACACGGCAGCAGGCCGAGGGAGGGCCTCCAGCAGGGGCTGGGTGGAGAAAGGCTGTTCCGTTGCTTTGTAAGCCTCAAGCGATCTGGATAAGGAGAAGCAGAGAAGAGCTGCCCTTGGCCATTGGGAGCCAAAAGAGATCAGCCACAAAACACCAAGAATGGCACTCGCTAGGCTTGTGTTGGGACAGGTAGCATCAGTGGCTTATACACAAAGTCTGAGGAGAATCCAAGGAAAGAGCGCCCCCCATGCAGGGAGTGTGTGATTGTCCCGGCATGGCTGCTGCCTGCACCACCAGAGGCCGGCAACCAGTGCCTCCAAAGGTGGGGACACCGCAGTTCCCCATCACTCTCGCCACGCCTCCTCTGGCCTCCGCTCCCCCATAGAAGCCTCATCCCATTCAGCCACAATCACTGCTCTGTGGGGAGAGACAAGTGGGGGGTGCTGTGGTTTTGCTGCCTTTTTCATGCCCATTTCTCAAAGACAAATGGAGAGCCAATCTCTAGCACGACACCAGTAGTTATGCTTGGCAGGACAGGTTTCCCTGGACAACCATTGCACTAGCGAGCCCCGGTGTCATAGGGGCAGAAGTGGTTCACATTCGCAGAAAGCAACGCACAGTAGTGGTTGTGTCCAGTGTGTTTCTTATTTGCAATTGCTTTTTTACCCCACTTTTTCTACTAAAGAACGCAAGCAAGGCTGTTCTACATGGTCCTCCTTCCTTCCATTTTCTCTTCACAACAATAACCATGTGAAGTAGATTAGGCCGAGAGTCCACAACTGACCCAAAATCACGCAGCGAGCTTTCTGGTCATGTGGGGACTAGAAGACGGACCTCCCAGGTCCCCAGTCCTCTGCTCTGGCCACTGCATGACACAGTCTCTCAATGCAGCAGCTCAATGGTGTTGAAAATATCCTTTTCTACCACAAAATGGTGTTTACTCCTAAGCAAGTATGTTTCTTTTGTGTCAGAACAGCAGAGGAAAACTCCATCTTCTTCCGGTCATGCTGATTTTAGGATTCTATGCATGGCTAGACAAAATTTTTAAAAATCATATAATCCCCATGCTGGCTAGGGAATACTTGGAGTTGTAGGACCTTTTTTGTTTTTGTATAAACATGCTCATGACTGTTCCCTAACAACATGAAGATGTCCTTTCTCTTGTAACCTCCTGCCTCACCTCTGAAGCCGGGCCCCCTCAGAAGTTCTCCTCAGAGTATGGAACTGGTTGTGATTCAAGAGCTGGTTGTGATTTCATAGCTATAAAGCAAAGCAAGGCAAAGGCTCAGAGCATCAGTGAGGTTCCTAGCTTGACATTAGAGCACCTGATCTGCAAGGCCCTGAGCTCAACACCTGCTCTGTCCCAGTGGGGCTGGAATGAGAGTCCTGGAGAGCCCACAGCTGCCAGTTAGTGCCTCAGTACTGGCCTAGATGGACCAAGGGCCTTGCTCAGAAGAAAGCAGCTGCCTATGTGCCTCTGCCGATGCTGCCTTCACAAGCTCTTCATTTTTCTGATGGACTTCGTAATTGCCAATGCTGCGTTGAGATCCTGGCATTCGTGGGATCCAGTGCCTACTGCTGAATTTGATATCAGGGCACTGGATTCAGGGCTGCTTTGTGCATGTCTGTGACTGTCCGGTTTTCATTCTTCTGCGCTTCACCATGTCCTTGCCTAATGTAGATGTTTACCAGGCTAACACGGAATAGTGCTTAACCCTGGTGGCATTTTATTTTTCATGTGGGGGGGTGTTGTTGTCAGGAAATGATGTTCCTTTGTGGAAGGAATCATTCCAGTGCTGCAGAAGCTGCCTGGGACTAAGACACAGAGCTGTCATTCTGTGAGAACTGTCTGGTTGTTAGGGCAAAGCTTGTTCTTGCGCAGTCCTTCCAAAGCCTGGGGAGCAATTCAGTGCTCAGTTACCCTGTGGAGAGTGTCAGCTTTGTTGCTTGACGACGTAGGCCAAGTTCAGTCAAGGACAGTGGTGAGGCATCCTTGGCCTGTCAAAGCCAGTTTCCTTAGCCAGGGCACGGCACGTCTCATTCTACGAACACGAACATGGCACTGTTTCTGGGCTGGTCTTCGGGGCAAATGAGGGTCCAGAAAGGGGAGCTTTCTTCCCTCCTCCTCACAGAAGGGACTGCTGATTATGGCCCAGTGTATCGAGGCGAATGCTGAAGAGCTGTCATTCCCCAGAACAGTCCCCAGAGCCAGGTCCCCAGGAAAGCCCAAATATTTGGGCACCTGTACGGATCCCAATCAACAAACCAGTTCTGGCTTCATTAGCAGCAGATCTTTTGTAAAGCTAATAGGTCTTAATTGTTCACTCCCATGACAGTTTGCATTGCAACAGTGAGCATTACATTGCTCATTCTCCCAGCAATTGACAATAACGGAAAGTCATAAGGAAAGTAATAACACTCCCCCACCCCCTCAGCTACTGTGAAAACAGGGCTAAGCTTAGAGAGAACAGGGCAGTCAAATTGGGGGTGCAGATGCTGCCAGCAAAAGGTGCCAGTGCTGCGCCCTCCAGGCCCTGGCTCTGCCACACCAGTGTGGCACAACAGTGATCGGGAGGCTAGTCTCTGCCACGTCCGTGGAGCCGTTTAGGACTGCAGCGGAGTGGTTCCCAGCCTTGGGATCCCAGGTATGGTTGGACTTCAGCTCCCATAATCCCTGCCCCTAGCTGTATTGCTTGGGGATGATGAGAGCTGTAGTACAACAGCATATCAGGATGTTCCTGTGAGAAGGGCTGGCAGCTGCATGCGATTCTGGCTCAGCGGTGGTGTTTGTGGCTCAGATACATGATGCACGTGCATAATATTGTTTGCAGAGATTTCCTGGGTCTCCTGGTTAAGAGGAAATGTGTGTAAAAGTAGACTAAAACCATGCTGAAAATAGATACAGAGAGCAGGAAAAAAACACAGGCAGCAAAAATAAACAAGGAGCTCTTCAACATAGCTGTGATTCAGATTGTGGACTTGGAGACCTGGAAGGGGCAGGCGCTGACAGCCAGGCACTGGTCCGGCAACTCTGCACATACGATCAGAAATGGGCAAGCTTGTAACAGTCGAGCTGGTTAAGGTGCCCTGAATTCTTCCCTGAAGCTTTTGTTCCTGAACACAAGTGTAGGGGTTTTGTGCAAGCTAAAGAAATGTGTCATTTTTCCTAATGAAAAATGCACATTTCCCCCTGCAGGCTACAGTGTGAATTTGGGGGTGGGGATTTGCACAAGTGTGCACTTTTGGAGGCAAAGAAACATTTGGGAAATTGTGAATATTTCACAAGAATTGTGCTCCTACTTGCATTCATGCTCACGGTTGTGAACGGGGCATGTTTGCATGATTTGCAAACAGGAATGAAACTCTTATACATCCTTACTTAAAGAGGGACAGGCAGGCAGTCGATGGAGGCCTCTCAATCCATGCTTAGGCAACTGGTCCAAGGAAGGGGCTTCCAAGAAGGAGGCTCTAGAGTAGGATTGCAGCCTTGAACATTAATTGTCAGTGGAAGTGTTCACTGTCCCAAATGCTGCCTAAAGTTAATGAACAGCGAAAGGTCTAGAGCAGCCTTTCCCAACCTTGTTTGGACCACAACATCCAGAATTCCAAGTCAGTGGCCCTGCTTGGTGGGAGTTCTGGGAGTTGCAGTCCAAATGCCTCTGAAGGCCCCCAGGTTGGGGAAGGCTGGTCCAGAGCAGCTGTAGTGGCAATGCTCCCTTCCCCTTTCCTTTCTTTGCAGTTGCTTGGAAGCTAAGCTGGGAGTTTTGGCAGACGCACCAAACCTTCAGTGATATGTTCAGACATGAATGACATCTTTTGCTTTCTGTCAGCCTCTGCAGACAATATTTCTCTTTGCTCTTTCCCAGTAATGAGATTAAATATACAGGTGTGTGAATCCGTGAAACAGGATAACCGATTACTAACAGAACAGCTGACTAAGCAGCAACAAAGCTGAATATTGTGAAGCACTGCCTGTTTTGGTGGTTGTTGGACATTTCAGTCAGAGGAATTGCGTGATTTCATGGCATGTTCGAAGTGCAACGTGGAACAGCTGTTGTGGGGGACGCTGCCCTGTTTCCCCTTTGTTATTAGTGGCATGTGGACCGGGGTTAACATCTTCCAAATGGCTTGACTGCAGCTCCCATGAGGGCCAGTCACCATGGTCAGTGGTCACGGATTTGGGGGGTTCTAGACAACCTCTGGTGGCACCCCTTGTGAATCTAGAACACAGTTTATCTGTTGTGGTGCTAAATCCTGCAACCTCTTAGGCCAAGACTCCAATGAAATCTCAAGCACCAGTGCCCAGTGCAGAAGGATGGGGAGCAATTCTGGCGGAGCACTGCTAGCTCGGCTGGGCATGGGGGCGAGATACTGGAATGCCCCCACCCTGAGCAGCAGTCTGCTGCCACCTCCTCCGATGGAGTCACCTCTCCTTCCGGGTGTACTTGCAAATGCAGCCCTTGCTCCGCACTGCTGCAGCTTCCTTCCCAATGCTCTGGATAGAATTGTTCACCTTTTGCCAATTAGTTGCTTCATAGCAGAATGGTCTCAGAGTAGCTGACGACGGCCAAGGGCCTTATCCTGCTGTGTAAGTCTTCAAGACATCTTCAGGTGTACTGCTGTCGTAGGGCTCTGCCTTCATCTCAAACTGCGAGCTTCCTTTGCGGGGGGAACTGAGAGGAAATAATGCATCTGGGTGGCAAAGCTGCAACACGTGCTCCTTTTGGGCAATAAGTGCACATTTGATTGTCATTTCTTGTGTGACGGTGTGGAAATATACCATTTTCTAGGCACTGGAAAGGGGAATAATTGATGGCTGGGAAAAATGCAGTTTTTTCTCTGGATTAACCTTTTCATCTTGGTCATATAAACCTTGGACCGTAGCCCAGTGAGCACAGCCATTGATGGGAGTCATAGTCCAACACATTTGTAGGAAAAGCATTCCAAACATTTGTTTGGAAAGGCTGCCAGCATTCATTACAGCAAATTTGTTCAGACTGGTGCTCCCCAGATGTGCTGCACTACAATTCCTAGCATTCTTGATCTGGCCATGCTGGCTGGAATGATGGGAGTTGCAGTCTTAACACATCTAGAGGGCACTAGGTTGTGGAAAGCAGCATTTCACCTCTGGCTGCTGTTTGGAGTCTGGTTTCCACAAGTGTCAAACATATTCACAGAATACTACATATGATGGGATTAATAAGAGGTGCTATCATGACAGTATTAATCCTTTTTTTGGTTACAAACATTGCATGACAGATTTATTCCCTGGAGGATGGGCACTCTTCTCCTGCACATATCTAGCCTTTCCAAAACAAGTATCAGTACAGGGATGGCCTGAAAAAGAGGGCCTTGCTCCCACTCTTGCGAACAGAATCAGGGAAGACTTCTAGGGAAGGCAGACAATGCATTGGGATATGTGTCAGCCGATCCCAAAGAAAACCCACAGAAGATTAAATGCAATACTTCTGGCACTGTCTGGCATGCTCTAATAAAAGACAGATCCAAGGTTTGCTCTCCAGAGGGGCTGCATACCTTGCAAACTGACAATTCCACTGGTCATGCCATTTGGGTTACAACTTCCCCCTTTTTTCTTTGTTCTAGGTTCCTCTTGACTGCTGTAGCTCTCTTGTCCAGCTACTCCATCCACTTGCTGCTCAAGTCCTCAGGAATTGTTGGTAAGTACTGCAAACCTGCCAGGAAGCCACACCAGCATGGGCTTAAGTTGAAAGCCAGTGCGGTGTAGTGTTTGAAAGTGCAGGAATGGGAATCCAAGGATCCATGGAGCCGAGTGGGTGACTTTGGACCCATCACAAACTCTCAGCCCAACCTACCTCATCACAGGGTTGTTGCTGTGAAGGTAAGAATGAGAGGAAGAGGAGGATTGTGTAAGCTGTCTTGAGTCCCTTGAAAGGGAAAAGGTGGAATATAAATATAATGAATAAAATAAGTTCAGTGATGGGGTTAGGAATTGATTTATAGAACTCTAGAGGACACCAGGTGACCAGAGACCTTGAGAGGTAAAATGCTACGTAGAACTGGCCCACAGGGCTAGACATACCCTGGTACTATAATAGGAAAAAACTGACATTGTGGTGCAGAATGTTCTCACTGCATGACTTAGCCATGGGAATGTTCTGCTGATTGCATAGGAGAAATCTTAGAGCTAATCTTAGTATATGGTTGCTGGGAGTTAATTAACTGTGTGAGTGCTTGACTTTTTAAAACCACCCCTTAGTAATCAGTGTGATTCCTTCTGTGTTGTCTGACATCTCCCTTTTTCCAAGGGCTGCATGTTACATATGGATATGAGTCATTTCCTCTCCCTCTCTCCCCCCCCCCCCACCCCTCTTTGTAGGAATCCGAGCCTATGAACAGCTGGGCTACAGGGCCTTTGGAACTCCAGGGAAACTGGCAGCTGCCATTGCTATAACACTGCAGAATATTGGAGGTAAGGAGGAAATGGGAAGTGGCCCAGCTGCTGAGATCCTCTCTGCACCCACTTCATTTCCTGGCCTCCCTGGGTCGGAACACACGGCACAGGGAGGAATGCAGCAGGCCAGGGCACTGCTTCCCAGCCTCTTTCCCCACTTGGGCCTGAAGGGGACTTGACATCCCGGTAATTTCTCTCTCCCACCCTCAGCCATGTCAAGCTACCTGTACATTGTGAAGTCCGAAGTGCCTCTGGTCCTCCAGACCTTCCTCAACCTGGAAGAGAAGTCAACGTAAGTGTCCTGCGGTCGGCTCCTCCCCTCACGGCTCCTGCTTCCTTGACCCTTCCGGCCCCCCGGGACAGAGTCTCACACTGCTACACTCAGCGGAGGGCCTGGTGTCCACGCAGTGCAACGGTGCTCAGCATCTCTGCAACAAGATGCATCCCAGGTTGTGGGAGTCGGGCGCAACCACCGAAGTGTTGGATATCCCTGTTCCATCCTCTGTGTTGGCACTGTGCTTCTTCCTCACTTGCAGCACAAAATACCCTCAGGGAGGAGCAGGACAGATGCCACATGTATTGGAGCGAGTGCTGAACATGTGGGAAAAGCAGCACGATTCAGCTTCCCCTCGTTTCTTTGCTTTTGTCTTGAGCGAGCCCCAATGGCTCTGCATCTGCTCCTGCATTTTTGTGGGCTTGAGAGCTCACAACTCACTCGTCATGTGGCAACAAACACTTGTATTCCATGGCAAGAAACCCCGTGTCCAAATCTGGTTCTCCAGCGCTTATGCCCTTGTCACACCTGCCACCGAAAACATGCGTTTGTATCATCACATGCATGCCAGTGTGTACTTATTTTCTGGGGCAGGTGCTTTAAACCTGCAGCCTGGAGAGGAATGGAGGCTTAGTGGTAGACACCGACTTTGCATGCAGAAGGGCCCAAGTTCAAGCCACAGCATCCCCAGGAAGAGCTGGAAAAGCTCTGCCTGAAACCCTGGAGAGCCACTGCCAGGCAGTGCAGATCTGGGGGCCCGCGGACACTCCTGGGAGTTTGAGACACTGCTGTGCGCACTGCCACAAAACACCGAATCAGGAGATCACCACTTTGGGGTCTGCCTATCACATCTTTGGATCTTAGACTGTATCTGGCTAATTTTGTTTCAGGACAGTTGGACGCAGCGATGTCTCTCTAATAAGGGACTAATTTAGCTAATTACTGGTGGTTCAGTGTAGTGGATACTTCTTGCAATCCTAAGTTTGGCCATGTCCAGTAGGAGGATGGGAGGAGGAGGATATTACATGGATAAATCTTGTATTAGAACAGTCTTTAATATTCACTGATGTACATACTCTTGAAAATTATTTAGCACCTTCACGGAAATTAACAGGTAGAAGGGGAGATAGATTCTCTGCACCCTTTGGACAGCTAAATGGCAGATATAAGTTAGTAGGATAGTGCTTATTCCCTCTGATTAAGAACCTTACTTTACGCTTTCAATATACATACACATGGCATAGGGATGCCAACTTCAAATGGATACTTATTTAGAGTTTGCTGAGCTTTTTTGGAAACCCTTCTATATATAGTTGCTAGAAAGTAGTATGCATTCCATGCAAATCCAAGTACAAATATTTTAAAAATGGAAATAAAGTAAACAGTGAGTGCCAACAGCAGCACACTGGGGGGCCGCTTCCTGGGTGCCACTGGAAGTGCCTGTGGGTGCCACTGTGCCCCTTGGTGCTGTGTTGGGGGGCCCTGAAGTAGACCATGCTGGACAGGCTGGACCAGCGCCTGGGTCAGTGCAAGGTGCCTTCCGAGGCTCAGAGGGAGCTGTTGAACGCTTCGGCATGCGGGAAAGGCGCAGTGCCCGGACATCCAGTCCCGCAACCAGGATATCCAGTCCCGCAACCAGGATCAGGCATTCCTGTCGCGTCGCAGCAGAGAGTGCATCTGTGAGATTGTATGTGGAGCCAGGTAGTGGTTGCACAAAGGCTGCCGGGAATGGGGCCAGTCAGTGGGCATTACTGAGGAATATCTGTGGCCGTGGCCTCAGCAAGGTGGCCTGAGCATCTGGCAGGGCTAGAGCCGCAAGACAGCTGGGGCCAACTGGAGCATGGCTGGCTTTGGTGAGCAGCAGCAGGGGGAGGGGTTGGAGCTGGTGCAAAGCCTGGCAGGAATGCGAGGACTGCCACAGGCACCCGCTCACGGAAGCAAGGGGGCACAGCTGCCCTCCCGCTGCCCCCAGTTTCGGCCGGGGCGCCCTTCTGGGAGCAGCACCAGAGGCTGCCCTGCCGATCTCGGCTTTGTGTTTCCAGCCACTCTGGCAAGGCTCAGAGAGGACAGACGGTCAGTCCAGTGCGCCTGGGGGTGTCAGGGCAGAAGATCCTCGAGTTCAGCCGGGGCCACGGGGGCGCCTCTTCGGAAGGCAAGGGGGCAGTGGCGTGGCCAGGCTGAGAGCGGCAACAGCACCTCGCCTCCAGGCCTGCTCGCTGGCTCCCCGCAGCAGGGCGAGTCCCGGCCGGGGGGTGCTCGCGGAATTGCCCCGTGCGTGGGAGTTGGTTGCAAGTGGCCACAGCGCAAGGGGGGATGTGGGCCTGGCAGGCCCAGCCCGGCTGCCCCATGCTGGTTAGGACATCCCTGCAGAGCGAACAGGCATTAGGAAGACGGACGGATGGACTCCTGCACTGCCCGATGGACATCACAGATTTCCTGTCCTTTTCCTCCTGGCCCAGAGCCCTGGCTGAGGTGGCTTTACTGATCTACACCTTACCAGGGCACCAGGGCACCCTGCCTCTCCAGCATCCATCTTCCCTCTCCTTTATTTAATGCCTTCCTCCTCAGCCCCTCCTCCTGCTTGTGGCTCGGCTCTCGGGCACTCCTCCCTCCTGCAGCACAGGGATTTGCCTCCTGCTGGGCCGCCTGTCACAGGGATTTCACAGCATTAAGCCACTACTATTTTTGATTGACGCCACGGCTGAATAAACCCTCCGTGCAGGATTAAACCAGAGTGAACTTCCAGTCCTTGCATGACACATCACTTCCTCCTCAGCCCCTGCTCTGGATGTCGCATCCTGAGCCGTGTGCCTCCTGGCCGCCAGGCTGGGGCTTCGGCAGCACCCTGGCCACCCTGCAGCACTTGACATAGAGGCTGACATTGGCTTTGTTGTGGGGTTCATGCCCTAAACTGGCCCAGCTAGATGGTGGCCTGGCAGCCTGCCTCCTTGGAGGGGCTGGGTTGCAATCAACTCTCAGGGAATGCATTACTCCCAGGTGTCCTTTATGCCCACCTGAGATGTGGCAAATGCTGAGCCACCAGCACAAACCCTTCCCTTCCCCTACTTCTCCCTACTTTTAGGGAGGTTTTAAGCTCAATCCAGCCACAGTTATGGTAGCTTCAGGCTAGGAAGGGATAGCCAGTAATAGCTGAGCCCATGGATCTGAATTCCTTTGGGGAATCTACATGGGCAGGGACTCCAGAATGCAAAGTTTGTCCAACATCTATAAGGCTACATTCGCTGATCCTAAAGAAGCTGCTAGTCACAGTGGCTATGTGCCTCTTTAGGACCAGAGCCCACAAGTCTCTCACTTGTTGGGGAAGGCAAGTGAGAATGCCAGCGCTCTCCTGTGCTACATGGAGCTCTCCCTGTGTGAGCAGAATGCTGCCCAGGATAGGCCTTTGGTCTGACTCTGCTGGTGCTCTGAACTATCCTCAGAGAAGCTCATTTAAGAAAACCGTACATGGCCAGCCTTCTTGGCCGCAGAGCAGAAAACATGGAGTGCTAACATGGAGAAGGACTAGACAGAAGGGATCTGACAGTTAGGGGATATGACCAGAGTTGGATCACTGTAACTTGAAAGGCTAAGATGTGCCAGCTCTGGAGAAGTACCAGTATGTAACTGGAGAACACAGCAGCCAAAGGTTAAATCTGAAAGGCAGGTCAAAGGGCTAAACCAGGTTAGTGATTTCAGAGTAAGACAGCAAAGTTGAGGATTCAGAGTGAGCCCGGCAGGTGAGGAAGGTAGGCAACTGATCATGGGTCCAACAGGGCTTTCAGGTTTGCATAAGAAGTTTCAGAAACCCAGCTGGAGCAGCCTGTAAATCAGATACCCAGGTAGGAGAGGCCTCGTGAGAGACCCTGCTTTTCCTCCTGGGGAGGACCTTGTTCTTCATAGTGCTCCACAGGGCTGAAGAGGCTGCAGTTCTGCCCTCTGGCTGGCTAACCGAACCAGTGCAGGAAACAGGAGACTTGGTATTGTTCCCTTGGGACCCTGAGTTTTGAGGCTCACCATACCTAACAAGGCAATGATCAGTTGCCCTCATAACCCCTTCTGTGTGTCTCTCTCTTTTTCCTTTAAAAAGCACTCCTTGTACCTTTGTGAGTGCTCCAGTCTTCACCCAGCAAAAGCCAGGACAAAATTGGCTTCCAAAATTTGATGTGTGAAGCATGCAAATTAAACATGTTTATATATAGATTGTGCGCCTACGTTGAAAACCTTATTTCATTTGGAGGCTCTACATGCGTCAGGACAGATTTCAGATTCCTTGCTTAAAGCCTTCTCCCCTTCCTTGGCTTCAGGCTCCAGAAAAAGGTCCAAGGTATTGAAATCGCAAAGGGAATGTCTACTGAGAAGTGGAGGAGGGAGGAGAGGGGGAGAGAGATCAGAGCTCTCCAGCCAGTTTGCCTTAGGAGTCCAAAGCAAAGCTATCTTGCCTTGCTTTAATCTGGGGTTATAAGTCCTGACAGGGCCAACAGCTGTAGAGCCCTGCCTTTCCTGGGGGAAATGGAACAATCCAGCAGGATGGGAGATGTCCGTGAGGAAGGCTGCATCCAGAGAGCAGGACATGTTGACTTCCATCTGCCCAGCCCACGTAGTGCTTTGCAGAAACCCAACGTCAGCGAGATGGTGCTGTCACATTGTCACATGGATGCACCTGGGCTCTCTAGTTCTAACGGTGGTCAAGATGCATCCACCCCTCCTCCGCTAGTGCTCAGGGGAACTTTGGAAGGGAAATGTTCTCACCAGTTGTCACATTGTAAAGCTGAGAAATGACACCCACTTTCAAATGCGCATGGTGCCTTCTTCCTGGCTTTGCTGTCAGCTGCAATAAAGGTCCAAGCCAAGCTCAGCTCTAGGAGCACCTCCTCCGAGGGGGAGAGGCGAGAGGCGATCACCTGGCCTGTGTCATTTCAGGTACTGGTACGCGAATGGCAACTACCTGGTCATCATGGTCTCTGTGTGCATCATCCTCCCGCTGGCCCTCATGAAGCAGCTTGGTAAGTCGCCCTGTGCAGGGGCCGGGGTGACAGGCATGCTCTGCAGCCTCTGTCTTGCCTGGGGAGGTAAGGGAAGGTGCTCCAGGGGGCGTGTGCTGCAAGAGGGCACCAACTGCAGGGGCGATGACCGCAACCAGCCCATCCCCATGGCGATGGCATCCGCTTCCCTTGCGGCGGCTCCCATGCTGCCCTGTATGTGTGTGAGAGAGACAGAGAGGGAGGGAAGCAGGGGTGCTGCCTGCCATTTCCAAAAAGCAGGCAAGAGCACACACAGCTCTGTAGGCACCCAGGTCTCCCCCTCCCAGCCCATTGTGCCTGAGGGCCAGCGGGGGCCAGGGCCAGCGGGGGCCAGGGCAGGGCCAGTGGAGGCCAGGGCCAGCAGCGGCCAGGGCAGGGCCAGCAGGGGCCAGGACGAACCTCTGCCTGGGACTGGCGAACCATCACTGGGCTTGCAAAGGGGCTTCCCAAGGGCAGATGTGCCCCACCATATTCAGAGCAAAGTATCTCAAGAACCTTCCAAAAGCAGACTGCTCCTGGTGCTCTCTTCACAACAGCAGCCAGCACCTTTCCCACGGGTCATGCTGGCTGAGGCTGGTGCGTGATGTGGCCTAAGAACAGCAGGTTGAATAAAGCTAGTATAGGCAATATGGGCCAAAGAGAAAGAAGCAGGGAGAGGGAGAGGGTTGTGCTGATTCATGAACCTAGAAATCCGCCTTTACTTCATGGCTGAACCAACAACCTGGGACTCTGTCACTGAACTGTGATCACGATCAGAGCGCCCCACGCTTTCCAGGAAGATTTCAACCAGCCCGCAACCTCCTGTTTTCTCTCTTTCCAGGCTACCTTGGCTACGCCAGTGGGTTTTCCCTCAGCTGCATGGTCTTCTTCCTCATATCGGTGAGTTCTTGCAGGGCCAGCAACACTTTAAAAAGTGCCACTTCTTTATTCAAGGGCACTGCCTTGCGTCGCTACCACATGGACAACACGTTCATTTTAATTGGGCTTCTTCCCTGGTAAGCAGCCATAGATGGCAGCCTTAGGGTGCCATCCTGTGCATATGTAGGCAGAAAAAATGGGCAGCCACTCCCAGCATTTCTGTGTAAACATGCCTGTGAATGCTCCTTTGGTTATTTATCACAGCACAGCCTCCGCATCTCTGCCCAGGGAAAGATCCATTCAGTAGAATGGGCCTTGCACCCATGTAAGTGAGCATAAGATCGAAGGCTTAGTTATTAGACAATTGCATTTCTATTCTGCCCTTCCTGCAATGAGTCCAAGGCAGCACACCTGATTTCTCAGCCCTGCTCTACCTTCAAAACATCTGCCCCTACTAGGGGCATTAGTTGGTTGTGAGCCACCCCCGAGATGTGTCCTCTTCACATCTCCCTCCCATCCTCTACTTACTGTTTTCTAGCTAAATATGGCTTTTCAAAGACCTTTTTTTCTTTTGGCTACTGCTGCCATGCCATAGACCCAAGGAAGGGCTGTGGGAGCTGGAAATATGACCTCGGACCACCCAGTCACCCACTTTAGAAAAGAAACCCAGTACCATCAGCTGTAGATTCCACATGTGCCTTTCCTTGCTGGAATGTCGCTTTCACCAGACCAGGTACAGCCAGCCCCAGAAGCTGGTCTTCAAACATGGCTTCAGGGCTGTGCTTGCCCTTGCCGCTTGGCCAGGGAGCGGCATTTTCTGTCTGCCGCTGCTGCAGGCGGGCGGCTGGGGTTTGGCGAGGTCTGCTGGGCTGTCAGTGTGTGACTAACCAGCCAGTTGCCCCCAGCCATTTTAGCAGCAGCCAGGGAGAGACACGTCACTGCATTCTCGCTCCCTTGTCAGCAATGCTGATCTATTTCTGGGCAAAGGAGCCTCATGCCAGCAGGGTGTGCAGCGATGGGAGAAGGCTGCCAGCACCGACTGGGACCTCAAGAGGATGTCGCCAGGCCTGCAGTGCAAACACTCCCCCCAAAGCACGCCACATTCACTGCAAGCCGGGTGCAGGCCCAGGTGGTACCTGCTATGTATGCACGCCTGTTCCTTTTTTAACTTTTTGGAGCTGCGGTGAACCTCCTAGCCAGGAGAGGTTCTGTATGAAAATCAGTCATGCTGTCACAAGAAACTCCCATCTTCCCCAGCTAGTGTGGCTGGGATAATTGGATTTGTAGTCCAACCCTTCTGGAGGGCATTCAGTTGGAGAAGGATGCCCTAAGGGAATCTAGCAGAAAAAGCTGGCTTTTCCTGGCCTCTAAATAAAGTGTAGCATTGGTGCCTTGCTGAATCCAGCCACAGCGTGATTATTCCTGGGCAAGCCCCCCCGGCTGTGCCAGGTGCGCTCCACGTCAGAAAGGGCTGCAGCCAAACGTTAGGCAAGAATTCTTTTACCCAGGTCTTGGTTTTACTTTGTGGGCTTGATTCAGTAGTTTGAATTGCTTTGATGTGAACTGTTCTGAGGGTAAATTGAACTGTTATTGAGTTTTGAGGAGGCTGGTGTGCTGCTTTGCATTTATTTAATTATAATCAATTAATTCTTTGTCATATTGAATTATCAAATAAATATATGTGGTGACTTAGCACTAATGTACTTGCTGGAGGTGCAGCTCACTGGATTAGGCTGTTGATTTAAATTGGCTTTTTGTATAATGGCCTCTTGCGCATCACAATTCCATTTCCTCACTTGAGGCTCTTGAACTCACTGGCTCTTGAGATCACTTATACTATTGGGTGCTGAGTCCAGCCTTTGAAATCATGAGATGGGCATGGAAATCATAAGCCAGGAACACAGACTAGCTATGAGATAGTTAATTACTTGTCAGCTAAGATGTTCAAAGACATTGCCCGGTGGTTTCAATCACAACAGAGGTGTGGAGTGTTTGTGCTCCAGTTGAAGGAATTGTTCTCAGAATTCTCAAGGAATGTCATGGAATGCTTAAATACATTATGGAATGCTTTCGGACTTAAATCCAGAAGCAGAGCCCAGTTGGATCAGGCAAAAGACCTCTCTAGTCCAGCAACTTGTCTGCCACAGAGACCATCTGCACTTCCACCATTTGCATGAATGTCAGTGTAATGCTCACAATGAACCTCTCCAAATATCTCTGGCCTGTGCATTTTTCCATTGAGCGCTTTGGCCTCTTTGACTGCCTGCCAAGCTCTGCGCCACTCTATATTTCCTTCCTGGTTTGGTTCCATCTCCTTTTGGAGGATGGGAGTAATTTGCACCCTGATCACCTGGGGTTGATGCTTCTTGAACTGGATGCTCTCCAGCTCATGTGGGCTTTCCCCCAAGGGTCATTTTAAAGGTTAGCCATTCTTTCCATCAAGAACATATACATAGTTCAATTATTGTGTCATGTTGAGGCCAATTTAAATAGAAATGTGACTCGGCTATACAAAAAATAGCCAAGTGAAGATGTTGGTGTTGATGTTTTGGCAGTAACCAGGCATTTGGTCAGAACTGGCTAGAGAATTGTACTGATGGTTTCTTGCTCCCACATCAGGTCATTTACAAAAAGTTCCAGATTCCCTGTCCGCTCGTTGACGTGAACACCACGAGCAACCAGAATTTCACAGTAGTCAGCACGAGCAGCTATCAGAGTGACCACACCATCGTCCAGGCAACTGAGGAAGATGTCTGCACTCCAAGCTTGCTCACTCTCAACTCTCAGGTCAGAGGAATGGATCTACTCCAGTCAGCAGGAATAATCAATATTCCACATTCCACTTGCGTATCTAACTCTGCTAATTTTATGTATTTGAACCAAAATTACCGCTGACCCTTCATTGAGAGTTAAATAGTTCTGTGGTTATAGAGCTAACATCAGGGTCAGGCACTGTATAATCTGTAGACATGACATGGTCATGGAAGTGGAGGAGAGTGGTAGCAGTGGCACAAGAATGAATTGCTTGCAGCGCTGTTGAGGTGCAGAGATGATCGTTCAAGGAAGGCTGAAAAAGCTGGTGTTAAGGGAGAATTTGAAGGACAGAGAGGCAGGCAGGCAGGCAGCCTGGCAGACCAAGACAGGGCAGCACATTGAAGAATAAGGAGCAACGTGCACCAAGGTGGCGGTGCAGTGTCAAGAGAACAAGAGATGTTTGAGAAGATCTTGGGGTTTGGGTTGGCCACCGTCACTACCTGATGAGGCAGGTGGGAAAGGGTCTCCAAACCCTACCTGATCCAGGGAACCCTCTTTGTCAATGATACTTGTCCCCACCCCTTCCAGGTATGGCGGCTACAAATATTTATTAGTAAATTCCTTGTTTTCTTGAATTTCTCCAACCCAGCGTTTACTGTAACTATTTGAAGGGCTACAAAGGTATTGATCCAGAGGATAGGAAGTTGCCCAATAGTCCCCTCACCCCACCTCTCTCTCTCCCTTGCAGACAGCCTATACCATCCCCATCATGGCATTTGCCTTTGTGTGTCACCCTGAGGTCCTGCCTATTTACACTGAACTGAAAAAGTAAGTATTTGATCATGGCATTGATCCATTGCAATACTGAAGTGGAGAGGGAGAAGCAGGGAACTGGTGGAGCCGAGATGTTACAGCCTCCGGTTTTAAGGCAAACACATACGTCACACTTCAGGAAACCTTAATAGTTTGCCTCTGTACCGTAGGCCAAACATGGAACTCCAAGCCCCTAAAAAGGCCACCAAGTGGCCTGAATGGTTGGTTCTGTTTAGTAAAGGGGTAAATGCATCCTTTGTGAGACCCCATTTCTTTGAGTTGCTTGCACACAGATTCCCAAGGCTTAAGGAATACCTGATACCTGCCAACGGCTGCACCAGGCAACTTGAGACAGATGACATGCATATCATCAGATCTGCTGCACCCTTGTGTAATTTGGTTTTGCTGCATGAACTGAGACACTTTCAGATCCTGGTGCATTTTGTGTACCTGTGTCGTTAAAGAGAAATTGTTGGATTTCAGCAAGCAAGGACTTGTGCCCTAAACAGTTAGGAGCTCTTCTCTTCAGCGCGGTGTTTCTGGATGTCTTTTAGCCCAACCAAGAAGAAGATGCAGTGTATCGCCAACATCTCCATCACAGTCATGTACGTGATGTACTTCCTGGCTGCCCTGTTTGGCTACCTCACTTTCTATGGTAAGTCCCTTCCACTGTACCTAGGGAAAGGCGAGCACTGGGTGGATGTGGGTGACTTTGCAGAGACTGTGTCCATAACTTTAGAGCCTAACATTTCATCATATGGAGCTACATGTTGTTCTGGCACCCAAATCATTTGTCAGCTCAGAATGGCAAGTGCCAGGGCCCCTTCCACATTTTATGAAGCCTTTCCCATGCTCACCTTTGCATGCCCATTTAGCCTCTGGGTGGCCCCGTCCTGTGTATTTGACTAGAGACCTTCACAGTACGTCCTTTGAATTCTTGGACAGCAAACACAGAGTTGCGGTAACATCCCCATTCCCCATTTCATCTTGTTCTTGTGATGTTGTGTGGTGCGATCCCATGCACGCTTCCTTGGAAAGCACTGCTTCCCTGATCCATGGGATTCGCTGTCCTGCTCATGTGCTTAGTGCTGTATTCACAGTTTGGTGCAGAAATGGGGGCTTACACCTCTCTCCTTTCTAAAGAGCAGTTCTGGGGCATAAGCAAGTGCCCCGCCAAGTGGAGGGCCCAATCAGTAATGCCGGGGCATTCTTGGCTGTCCATTGCAGGCCAGGTGGAGTCTGAGCTGCTGCACACCTACAGCAGAGTGAGCTCGTTCGACGTGCTGATCCTGTGTGTGCGCGTGGCCGTGCTGACTGCCGTGACACTGACCGTGCCCATTGTGCTCTTCCCGGTACGTCCCTTTCGCAGGGATTAGTGAAGGGGATGGCGGAGATCTTCCTACATGATGTCCCCCAGATCAGTGACTGAGTCAGAGGATGGATGCCAATGCAGTTCAGTCTGTATGCCTCTGGTTACCAATTTGTGTAGCTGCTTAACATGGGCAGGAGAGAGGTACAGTTAACTGAGAGCAGACAAAGACAGCGGAGAGAGAGGAAGCACTGGGGTGTATCTTATGCATGTTCAGACATTAAAAAGTCCTGCAGCTCACAGCTAGAAGTTGCAGGGCATTTTTCCTGCCTAAAGTGCCCAGGATTGCACCCGTCACATTTCGTGACCGCTGTGGCAGAGCTGGGAGGTCAAACATTATCCCTGTGTCCCACTTTCTGCTCAGGATTTAGAGGACTTGGGCACTATCTGGCATGTTTAGCCATTTGCCTGAAGCAGAGTCCGTGTGTCTCAGACTAAACTGAGCTGCACAAGGTCTGCCTGGTTGAGTTAAGACGATGGGTTCTGTGTAGGAGCTCAAGTTCCTAGCAGTAGCCACAACCTTGGGATAAAACACCCCTCTGGATTTCTCTTCAAATGAAGGACTTAGGTTGTTTGCCTGTAGCTGGTTGGGATGTAGGGAGCTCACTGGGACATGGACTGAAGGTACAGATGGAGCCCACCAGAGAGCAGTTCAGAAATGAGCACTGGAGTCCAGAACCACTGCAACTTCTCCTGGGTATTGAGTGGTATATAACAGGTGTAGCTTTGTATTAAAATTGTTTTAGCCACCTGATGGTTTTTCAGTGTGGTATATTGGAAACACTTTATGTCTCCATATGTTTCCATGTTTTTATTGTGTTATGGTTCATATTTGGTGACTTCTTGTACACCACCCAGAGAGCTTCAGCTGTTAGGCAGGATAGAAATAAAACAAATAAATACATAAAGCACTAGGCCAGAAGACTATGGCTGTCCCAGTAGACACATTCAGGACGGGGTGCGGGTGTCAAGATAGGCGAAACCATGTGTGGTTGTAACGGAACTGTTTCTGAAGAGGGGTCTCTAACAGCACCTCCTTCTGCCTGCCAGGTGCGGCGTGCGATTCAGCAGATGCTCTTTCCAGACAAGGAATTCAGCTGGATCCGGCACATTATCATCGCCATTGTGCTGCTGACATCCATCAACTTGCTTGTCATTTTTGCCCCGTCCATCCTGGGCATCTTCGGCCTGATCGGTGAGGCTTGAATTCAGGAACTTCCTCCCTGTTTATCTCCGTGCTTGGCACCCTTTGCTTGTCCACTTCCACAGGCTACTTTACCTGTCGCTTCCCTGTCCACTGACCCAGCTGTTTTCGGAAAAGTCATGGAATTCCCTAGATTTCATGTACAGACATAGTCTTTTTAAATAGCAGTTTGCTTTGGCTCAGTCTGGCATTCCTGAGGCACAGTGATGCAGTGTTGGAATCTCCAAACAAAATCATTGGATAGTGGCGGGCAGAAAGCAGATCTCCAGATGCTTTGGACTTCAGTTTCCAGCATTCCTAATCATGGCAAGTTCTTTTGACAAGTCCCAGGAAATCTAGAGATCTGTTTTCGCCTGGTCTTGGAGGGGGTATGCCCTATCTGCCTATATCCTGAACAGACCAGTTTCCACTCTTCCTTTCTTGTGCTTGGATAGTATTTATTTTTAAAAGTTAGTGGTGAAATTCAAGAGGTGAAGGCCATAGACACTGCCATGGGGGCAATCATTTCTTTCCCCTCTTTTAAGACTGTGGGTGGGACTCGCTGGAAGGCCCCTTTCCACAAAGATCAAGGCCACCCTTGTCAACCCCGTTGTTTGCTTGCAGCTTCAAAGGGCTTCCTGTGTGGCTCTCAGACACCCAACTGCTGTGTATTTCCCGTCCGATTTTAAATGCAAGCACCGCTCCGGGTGGGTGTGTTTGTGTGCGAAATCAATAGCTTGTCTGGCCTCTGCCAGGGGTCTGGGGCAAGGCCAGGGACCCGCCAGCATGGCTATTCTGCTTTCCCAGGAAAAGCAAGGGAGGGAGGCCGGCGGGGGGCTGGGTGGGGGTGCTTCCTTTCCTGAGCTCCTTTCAGCCTCCTAAGGCCTGCTCGCTTTGTCTCTCCCAGGTGCCACTTCTGCCCCCTGCCTGATATTCATCTTCCCAGCAATATTCTACATCCGTATCATACCCAAGGACAAGGAGCCCACAAAGTCCCCTCCCAAGATCCTGGTGCGTATTTTAAAATACTGCTTCAGCTGCTGCAGAGAGCCCGCTGTCAGTCCCGCCCTGCATCTACATCAGCTGCTTTCCTCGCAGTGCTGACCGGAGAAAGGCCCTCTGGCTGCAGGCTGTGGGCCCTCTCGCAGGACTGCTGGGGGTAGCTCCTCGGTTATGACCTGTACTGATGGGTGCCCACTGGATGTGGCTAAGTGTTCTGAGGGGAGAGCCAGAGTTGTGGTTTCAGGGAACAAGGTTCTTACGATCATAGTGGCTATCAGAGTGATGAACGAGGCGGGGCTTATTTGCTCTAAATTGTGGAGAGGCCTCCTTCCAAATCTGCAGGGCCCACTGTGTTGGTTACGGCCTTGGGAGAGGCCTCTCAGCCTTTAGAACATGAGAAGAAAGAACTCAGCAGTGGGTGGTTGTGGAGAAAGGAGCATGGCCTTCTAGAGAAGGCTGGAGGACAGGATTCGAGCTGCCAGGCAGCTTCAGCTGTCCTCCAGGCCTGGTGCCTATTTGTATCACTGAAGCTTTTCTCACACAGCTTTTGCTTGAGAAGGAAATGCCTACAAAGGTTTTTGTTGCTCCAGCCACTAGGCTTGCCAGGGGCCAGTTAAAATGAAGAGGCCCAGGGAGAGCTCGTTGGCCGCCATTGCTCCGGGAACAGTTGAGTGCAGAACGCAGACAAACGCGCTCGCCAGCACTGGCACTCCCGCCCTGTGGCTGACTGACACCCTCTTCCCCTCCTCCCTCTTCTCTCTGCAGGCAGCCCTCTTTGCGTGCCTTGGGGTGCTCTTCATGATCATGAGCCTCAGCTTCATCATCATCGACTGGGCGACAGGTGGTGGGAAGAGCGGAGGTGGCCACTAGGCAAGGCCTGGCGCCTTGTGAACACCTTGGGAGACTAAGCTGGCTTTGATACATTTCCTGCCCCCCTACCTCTGCTAGGACTGTACCATAATAGTCCCTGGCTCCATCCTGAGCCAGAGGGCTCCGTTCCGTTACTCAGTCCTCACACCCACCACGGAGCCAGAGGACGCTGCTGACCAGAGCAGAAACTAGTCCCTCCCCCTCTGAGCCTTTGATTTTATCTCCTGGTCTGGAACGGGGCTGTCCGGTGGTGCCGAATGGACATACGAGATGGGGAAAGGGGGGTGGGGGTTGCCATGCTGTTTGTGTCCAGCCAAAGGTGTCCAGTATGGCTGGCCCATGCTGAGAGGACTGGAAAGCCAGTGGGAGGAGCCAAAGGAAATCTGGGGTGGGGACGGGAGGACCGTGGCCGAAGAGCTTGGCGTGGGGGGCTCTGGCCTGGGAGGCCTGGTACCCCACTGACTGGGAGACATGGGGCAGGCCCTCCTGAAGAAGCATTCTGTACAAATGGGATGTGGGTGGTTTGGGACAGGAACACTGGTGTCAGACAAAGAATGTGATTTGGTTTCAGACTTCTTAATGGCTGTGCTGCCTGCCCCAGCCACATGGCTTTCTCTCCTCAGCCCTGCTGCCTCCCTACAGCTTTCCTCTCCCTGCCAGAGATGAGGTGATGCTCAGTGCGGCAGCCACCTGGACCCTGCTGGCTCCCATCTCTCTTGGGAGCCCCAGGCCCTCCAGTGGGATGGCAGGCGGTGGTGGGAGATGATTTGGGGGTGTCGGCCCTTTGGCACAGCCAGTTGGGATGGCCTGCAGGTTCAGCCAGCCGTAGCCCTGGGCAAGACCCCTCAGGGGGCCCCTCTTTCTGTGAATCTGCCTCCTCATCTCCACGGTTGCCAGCCAATGCTGTGCTTCCTCCTCTCTTCCTCATTGGTACCACTTGCTCGCTTGATGTGCAGACGGCCAGTGAGTCAGCAGCAGCGTCACTTGCTCTGCTTCCTGCTCTCCACGGCCGCCATTTTCCGGGCCAGAGTTGGAGGGAGGTGAACAAGTATGGGCTGCTAAGACAGGGGCCCTTGGCAGGCACCTGGCCCCGGCTGGCTTCCAGGGATCCCTTGTGCATGGGAGAGATTCACTTGGCGAAGTGAAGCGGAGAAGGTGAACACGGTGTGGGCCTTTAGGTTGCAGGCTTGCTGTGGGGAGCACAACTGTTTCTCTTCCAAACAGAGTGAACCTGGAGCTGAGGCGGGTAGGCAGCCCCGTGGTTAGTGCATCAAATCCCTCCACCTGTCTCCTTGTTCTACAGGGAAATGGCAAGGAATGATCAGGTATTTAGGAAGCTCGGGTCACGGTTCCTCCTGTGTCCTGTAATTGTTTGTCACCTGATACTGTGTAAAAGGTCTCCATTCTCAAGACCATTTCCTCCCTCCCCATATTGCATCATGGTGGACTCCCTCCCTCCCTCCCGCTAGTGGTTGCTGTATCCGCCCACTGGGAACTGCAGCCCTGTCACCAAGCCAGTCCACCAGCCCAGCCCATCACTAGCACTTGACTGCTGCTAAGTTCAGTAATGTATAGAGCAAGAGTGCACATTCATTGACTTTGCACATGCTGATGTTGCTTTTCGTCCAATTTGTAGCTGGGGTGAGATTCCAGTGGAACTGTATTTGTATAGCTGTCTTCCCAGATTTGGCAAGGACCTTTGCTCCCATTGATTCCTGGCTTCTCCTTAGCATAATTTGTATAGGAGCAGCTCAGCTTCAGTGTACCCCTGACCTAGCAGCCTGGCCTTGATTGTAGCAGATTGGGAAGAATGAATTGATCATCCCTTCTTTACTCTCTGATAATGTCATTTAAAGAAAGAAAAACTAGGGAAAAATTCTTCCATGGCTTCTTCCTTAAGCCAGAGATGGCCATCGCATACTGCATCTCTTTCGGGGCTCTGAAACCTTTCACACCTCATCCTCTGGTGGTCAGCCCAGTCTTTGCAGGCTTGGGCGAAGGAACGGTATAAAAGTAGCCATTGTGACCACAGAGAAAAAGCAGCAGAAGACCTAGGCACACGAGGAGGGGAAAACAAGGACGCAAACAATTTCCAAATGAATATTAGTGACACAGGAAACGGCCTTTTACCAGGGCAGACCAATATTAATCTAGCCGTGTTCTGGCTGACTGTCCTCCAGGGTTTCCAGGAGATGCCTTTTTTACCACTTGTTACGCCTTAAAAGGCTCTGTGTGGTTATTTCATCTGTTCTCGCTCTGAACTGCTTGTCCCTGGTAAGAAAAAGGGTGGAAGAGAGCACAGGGGGTAAGGAATGGAAGGCGGCATCATCGTGACATTCCATGGATGAGGCAGGACAATTTGAAGGCCCATGTAGTCATAGTTGTACCTTTTCTGCTGCACACACTGCGGTAATACCAAGCACAACGGGAGTGGCCACCCTATTAACCCTGACTCTTTTGGAGCTCAGTTGTGAGGAAGGGTCAAGTTGGGAGTAACGACTCGCAGGTCTCTTGGACTAGAAATGGGTGCATTGCTGCTAAGGAGGAAAGGACTGCTGTGTTGCTGGTGGTTCTATATCGTTCTGAGTCTAGGCAATTAGTGCTTCTAGGCCAGCGTCTCACCCAGGCCTGGCCGTTTTTCTATCTGCCTCTGCAGCTGTGCCCGTAATAGCAGCTCAGCGTGTAGGAATGATCGTTAAAGCTTTCCAAGTATAGAGATGAAAGAGCCACCTCTCTTGGTGCTCCATCAAGCTCCTGTTAAAGCCTGAGTGTCAGGTTGGAAAGTTGGCAGCCCTTGCCTCACCTCTGGTGTAGAAGGACCAGTGGACATCTCTGCCGCCTTTAATGGAAAGCTCCCACATTCAAGGAGGATTTGATCATCTGTGGTTGCCGGCTGGCTGCTGACAGTAGCTTGGAGGATCACTGGGAACTTTCAGAATTCCTTTGTAATTTGGGGCCGGAGTTGGTTGCAGCTGTAGGTCATTCTGATTAAGAGCCAAATTATAGTATGCCACAGCTTGGTGTGTACCAGCAAAATTGTTTGATCCATACTAGAGCAAGAAATCTGGCAGATGGAGTACATTTTCAGGTTGCACCTGCTATCACATTAAGTGCAGACTCAGTCATTTCCTGTGACTAAGGCTATATAGGTCTTATAGAGGTATTAAAAGCTACTGCTGGAGGTAGCCTGCTAGTTGGTTCTGCTTAAGCAGTCCAACAAGGAGCAGAATCTTCAGATGAACTGATATGGGGAACCAGCTATATTTCCTGGGAGTAAGAACTTCAGTCACCAGTGTTGCTTGAGAGGAAAGACACTGGGATCCCCCTCTTGCAGCTCCACTTCTCATGGGAGTAGTACCCATGTGCAGCAGAACTCCACATAAGTTTCTGGCCGCAAATGAAAGAGCCGCCAGATCTCTCATTTGCCATGCACAGCAAAAGTCTAGATTCAGAACAGTACATAGACCTTGTGCATAGACGCTCCTGCTGCGTTTGGAGCTGGACTTCAGGTCTGGGAGAGTTTGTCACAGTTGCGCCAAAATGTAGTTTTTGTCCACATTTATGGAGCGCCACAGATTGCACTGCTTGGTAGGTGAAGCGACACTGCCCCCTGCTGTAGCTTGTGGGCCTTGCTGCTTCCAGTAATTTGCACCTTAAAAGGCTGCTGCAGCTTCCCTCTGTTTTGGTTTGCTCCTATTGCATCAAGTATGCAATATTTCTGCATTATTATGCAGAAATCAGGTGGCAGAGAAACATATTAGAAGCATAGGCTGACCAATGCTGCTAAGGAAATAAGAATTTGGCACACTTACACTCTCTGGAATCCTGGCCCAATATCCATTAAAGGCTTGAGCAGCAATTGTGCCTTATCCTCAAATCCCATTGAATGCAATGTCCTTTGCTTGGGATTGTTTCCTTTTAATAAAGTATGGAAAATGTCCTGCATTACTTTCTGCTTTGGAACCATGCAAGACAAAAAGCAGACTGACAAAGCTTCTGCTTCTAAATTAGTACTCTTGAAGTAAATCTTAAAATGAATGGGACTTGGATTTAAAAGTAATTGGATTTTAAAAGCTATCTTGAAGGACAGGAGTGAAAAAAATATTTCCTATGTACATGTGGGGTCCTGAGCTAGTCTAGGTCAAACTGCAGTCAAGCGATTTCTTGCCATTTTTCCTATTATATCTGCTATTATGGCCCAGCTTGCCAAAAGCCATAAAGAATTTAATTCACCTATAAAATGCACCTTATGAATTTCAAAGCTGGGGTGGGGGCTTGGAAACAAACCAAGCAGGATATTTTTTACAGCACTGTGGTTTCAAAAATCATTTTTAAGTCCATAAGTAATTCTTTCTCGGATTTAATAACTATAATGGACATAAATAAGAGATGTATTTTCTTATTTTTGTACTGGGGTGGTGGCTGGTCAATTTGCTTTTTATAAATACTGTATATAAGAGTAGATCTTTTTAATGTATTTGTTTTTGCGCTCAGTAACTCTGTATAGTGTATATATTTTGTGTTTTCGGTGAAGAGAGACTGGATACCTGAAAACCCAGCTGAGCTAAACAAAACTACCAGCTGTGAAATTCAGGGTACTGTTGGCTATTTCTACAGCCTGTTGGCTAGCTGGAAGAGAAACGAAGAGGGGAGACTGCATTGGTAGATGATGTTTGGCTTCGGGTGCTGGGAATGATTCAGTAGCCCTCGCCCCTTGGAGGCCAGCTGGAATCCCATGCAGCTTCATCAACACTGCATGGGCGTAATTCCCATCCAGCACTCACAGAGGCAGCGCAGCCCAGCCCAGCCCAGCCCGCTTCCTGGGCCCACAGGCCATGATGACCATAACCCCTGGAGTGTCTTTCGCCTAGTGAAGGCAGCACCTAGCTGGGAATACGCTGGCACAGAAATGTCACTCTGGGCTGTGAGTTGTCACCCCTGCTCTTAGCAGCCATAGTGGACACGTACAGCCTCTAGATCCCAAAGTCTCCAGACCCTTAAGTCTGCTTGGAGCTGAAGAAGTTGGGGGCAGGCAGGTGCAGAGGGTCAGGGGCACACAGCGCAACAGGTCTGTGCGCTGATCATGATCCAGCAAGGGGAAGAGAAGGGAAGATTTCACAGCAGCTCTTTTCCACAACAGGAGACCTTTCCTGCAGGATGGTGGGTGCCAACTACAACGTTACCTTTGGGGCCCTTGTTGTCACTTGACCATTACTTGAGCACTTGTGGTTCAGTCTCAATGTTAGGCGACGCTAACAGTCTTTTATATATTGTAATATTTATTTATTTTCTGTAACCTATGCTGGGGGCCAGAGAACGCCCAGGCGCTTGCTTGCAACCAGATCCCAGTGGTGCTTGGCTCTACTGAAAGATGCAATAGCAATACAGCAAATCAGTTAGAAAGGGGTATGGTGAAAGATGGACAGCAAATGGGCAGGATTTCCGGACTGGCTAAGATCCTTTGAACAATCCCCTCCTTCTCCTTTTCCAAAGGCAGTTCCAAGGAACTTCTGGCCAGGTGGCAAAGGTCTGTCCTTCCTGTTTCCAAAGAACAGGCTGGCTCTGCTGCCTCGCTCAGCATAGGCCAGTTGTCCGTGTCTCCTCTGTGTCTGATAGAAACCTTTGCAAGGAAACTCAGCCCGGATGGATATCATAGGAATCTCTTTCATTCTGGAGAAGAAGGAAATTGTAGTTCATTTGGGTTTCCTCTCCCACCCGCTTCATTTGGGACCCTTCTGCCTCTCTCAGGGGATGAAGAGGGGCACGGAGAACGATCCTGCCCTCTCCAGGTGCCTGGCCTTTCTGTCAAAGTGTCCCAAGTCAGTCCCATGAAGAGACGGAGGGTGTGGTGCGAGGAGTTTCCTTTCTGTAATATGTACTAGGTGTCAGATTTAAATTATATACTGAAATTAGATCTATATTTGGAAATAAATCTTTTTAATATAACAATAAAGAAAATGTGAAACCTTAGTCTATACCACGCTTCTATGTGTGTGTCTGATGACTGATGGAAAATCCAAAATTGGCTAACCACATGGAGACGGGGCAACTGCAGAAATGACAGTGGGAACCTCCAGAACCAGAAACAGATGCCTCTCCTGCTGAAACCTTAAGCAAAGCGTGTGTCCTCTTCTCCCTGGAGTAAGTGCCATGGTGGCTCTCAGTGAGACTTGTTTCTCAGTATTCATCCTGAGGGCAGCAACCAAAGTCTCATTGCCAGATCTTCTTGATATAATAGTTGGATATCACCGCAAAGGGGCTCACCCAATGATTTGCTCACATTTTCACTTTATTATAAGGACTGGTAGCATTCATACAGTCCTAGATCAAATCAAACCAGAACTTTCCCTGAAAATGAAGCCGAATCCGTCGTACTTCAGGCAGATGGTGAGAAGGCAACAATGGCAGGGAAAGCAGAAGGCAGAAGCAGAAAAGGAGGGCCAGCTATGAGATGGCCTGATGCCCCAGGAAGCCATAGCCTTGGTTTTATGAGTGCTGAGCAGGGCTGTGAAGGACATGATGTTTTGGAGGCTTTCATGCGTAGGGTCACCATAAGTTGGAGATGGCAGCATGTCGCAGCAGCAGCAATCATGGCTGGAAGGAGGTGGGTTTCTGCAAGATGCCATCTGTCAAAGGCTTTTCTATCTTTCTCAGTCAGAGAAAGCGTGCTTCATATCCTGATAATCCACCTCAAGTTTGCATTAAACTAGAAGGAATCCAAAGAACTGGATTTCCAGACCTAAAATACGAACAAGTACTACACATCGTGGGAGACTTAGCAAGTAGCCTTGAGGAGAGACTGCAGCTGCTGCCTGTGCTCAGCTGTTGCTGTTGTTGCCTTCTGCAAGCGATGCACATTCACATGGAGGCCAGGGATGCAAACAAATGAAGGCACAGGTTCACTGCGTAACAGCTGAATAGACTGTGTGGCCCTTCGGATGTTGACCTACCATTCCCATCCGCCTGTACAGGCGGTGGTGAGGGATGATGGGAGTTGTATTCCTACCCCTGCTCTATAACATGGAACATCAAGCTAAAAATGACTGGCTCCTGAAAGCAGAATTCAAGTTTTGTTCTAATGACAGGTTTTGTGCCCCTCCGTGCTCACAATTGGAAAGTGTTTTTTCCCTAGGTGTGAAGCACCTCGTACAATGGAACTGGCTCTGTCAGATGAAGGAAAGAGGACACGATTTATCAGAATACCAGCTAATCCAGGGTAGGCAGAAGGCAGGTCTCCAGATGTTTTGCATTTCAGTTCCCAGACGTCCCACCAGCATTGCCAGTGATCAGGAACGCTGGGAATGGAGCCCTAAACATCTGCAGCTCTACTTTTTGCCCACTCCTGAGGGCAAACAGGAAGGGGAGTTCTGTGGCTTTGTAGATGTTAAACTCCAACAGGTCTAGGCAGCATGGTCACTAGTCTGGTATGCTGAAGGGTGTAGTCCAATAACATCTGGATCCCAGCCCCTGAGCTAAACAGATGGGTCAGTCAACGGAAAGCAACAAACACCTACGTTGTTACCGGCCCCATCCTGCTTTTTCCCATTTATGTGACTTGATGAGGACAGGATGAATCTACAATCTGCATGTGCACAAAGGGAACTTTCAAAGCACAAAGCGTAAACCTCACCATCACACGTAAATGCTCTCTTCAGCTATATTTGCCAAAAGCAGACTTGATATTATTTTGGCATTAAGAAATGTTTTCATAGTACCTTTCACTTTTGCCTCTTCTGCAGCCTCTTATGTTTGCTTATTTCTGTCCAGTCAGACCCCCCTTTATTTCTTTGTGTAATTAGACTGATTATGCATGATGTCCTTCATGACCAAGGTGCTATACAGGGACTACATTAAAATGAAAAGACCCTTACAAGATCCTTTTTTCCCTAAATGACCTAAGAGATTATTTAACTTGCTATAAATAAGCCACCAGAAAATAAATATATACAGTTAAAGGCAAGGAAATGATAGGATCCTAGGAATATAGGAAGTTGCCTTATACAAAGCCAGGCCCTTGGTCCATGCAGCTCAGATTCAGATTCAGAGACACTGATTGGAGGTGACTCACCTGGGTTCTGGGCAGGAAGCTTTACTTGCCCTACCTGGACATGCCAGTGTCTGAGCCTGGGACATTCTCATGGACTTGGCCTAGTTGCATGGATAATTTTAAAACCTGTTTAAAAATGAGTTTTAACCTTTCTGTGTTTCAGGCAACCTTAGTTCTCTCATCTGCTAGTTGATGGAATCGCGGGGGGGGGGGGGTTAGGGACACCAAGAAATGCTTCCCGCTTGCACAAAGGCACATTCTGACAGGTGCAAATTTGTACCAATTCCTTTTTAAAAGTAAAGCAAGGCCAACATAGCCCACAAGTTGGAAAACTCTGGCCCAATGTGACATCTGCAAGCATGATGCCCAGAAATGTGAACTCACTAGAATTGTAGATTTCTCCAACATGCATTGCTTGGCTTTTCCCAAAGCTGTGGCCCCTGATGACTGAATCAAAGCCCAGTTGGGCACCTGATCTGTCAAAGCGGGGATATCCCATGCTGATATAACTGTGCAGCTAGATCCCCATTAGCACCTATATGGCTCGGTATAGCTAATGTGTGCCCAGTGCCTGAGATGCAGGCCCTGTCCCTGGCTAGGTGCACCCTCTCCCCACTCCTGCCAGTGAGATCCTTGTGTGCAAGCAAGACTGTGCATGCCCAACCTGTCTGAATGCAGACGTCCAGGATGATGCTTATCTGGACCTACCCCGAAATGGCTGGAGATGCTTTTTCACACCAGTGAGTCTGGGCAACCCTCCTGGTGACACTGTCATGACCGGAGCTGGATCAGCAGTGAAGGTTCCCAGCTGTGCCTTGCCACCGCTTTGCTTTTTCTACCCATTCTCCAACTACTGTCCCTTTTTCCTTCCACCTGGCCCACTTCTTTGCGGGGGTCTTCTTTGCCTCCATCTCTGTTCCACCTGTCATCTGGAGGACGCTTTTGCACACTGGGCTTGTAGTCTTTCTGGTCCCGTGCAGCAACGGCTGGTGTGGTGGATGACAAAGAATCCATTAGACGATGGGACCGGCAGGCAGCTCCAACAGCTGTCCTGTTATTCTGCCCCAAAGCCATGTCATGGGAGATGGCACATCGGAGTCAATGCCCTCAATCACAGGGGGCATCAGCACAGGGATGAACATCTAATTTCTCTAGGCTTCTTGCAGAGGCTCCTCCTGGGCGTGGAAACACACACTGCGAAGGCTGGATTTCCAAGAGAGCAGTCCAGACTATGCTTTTTCAACGTAGCTCAGTTCCACTGGAGGTGTCAAAGCAAAGACTATTTTTGAAAAGATCTGGGCAGCGAGCAACTTTCACTCTTCAGAGCAGCTTTTCAGATGGGTTGGCAAGCTCAGAAGCTCTCCCCCCACCCCTGAAAATCTGGTCCTGGACACAGTGCTTGAAACTGGCCTGCAGGTGGCAGCAACGCCCCATTCGCACCCAAATGCTTGACTTAGTTGCCCAAACCCAGCAGCTGTTGAAGAACCAACAGCAAGTGATGCACAAAGTGAAATGAACAGAGAAGGGACACTCTGGCAGGCAAGACCATCCAGGGGCCCGTATGGGCTGCATTCAGATTAGCACAACAACCCACACTCGAGAGTTGTGAATGAGCTGAGTGAGAGTTGTTGCGGAACAGTGGGTTGGTGATGAACCGGGTTATGTTGTTTGAACCCAGCTGGGCTAACAAGCCATGGCTTCTTTACCACAAACTGCCCTGGAAGAAAATCCTTGGTTTGTTGCTGTGCTTTGGATTGTGAGTTGTTCATCATGGCTTGTCAGTGCACCTGGGTTCAGATGACATGATACCCACATTTCAACATCTGGCAGTTCAACCCTTGAGTGAATTGCATGTTGTCTAACCCCAACTGAAGCTAGTAAAACAATACTCTGGACCACTGAGGCTACTTGGGGCTCAGATCAAGCTGCACACCTGCTCCTTCAGGGGGAATACAAGCCTATCCAAAACAACTAATACACCAAGTTCCTGGACCCAGAACTTCCACCCACAGTGCCTCTGTCTTGTCAAGGTTCAGCTCATTTAGAGGATTTCATCTGGACCAAGCCCAGACAGTGGTGAAGCATCTCCACAGCTTTGTCTGAACGAGGTGCCAAAAAGAAATAGAAGTGGCTACCAACCGCACATTGACGCCACCTGGAGATCTGCCCAGCCCTGGCCCAGGTATTTGCTTTCACTCAAAAGCACCTGGAGCTGAGCCTCCGCATTCTTCTCCATGGCATAACCAGCCTGGCTGCATTTAATGACCAGCAGGCAGAGATGATGCCTCTCCACCGTGCACATGGTTCTGCTCCAGCTGGGCTAGGCAGTTGTCATCATTAAGAGGAGAAGACGCTGACTAGCCGATACTGTGGAGGAGGGAAAGGAAGGCACCACTGGCGAACACCTGGCTCGCCACCTATCTATTCGGAAGTGTGACTCAGTATAAGTGGTTCATTAATGGCACCAATCAACCCCTTCACTGACATTACTTATTCCTCGCTTTTTTATGGGATAAAAGATCTTCAGCTCCACAGCAAAAATGGCACTTATTTATCTCGTTATTAAGAAAGGCTTTCTCTCTCTGCAAAAGCCTGTTCAGGTCTGCAGTCACAGAGAGCCCCTTGTATCTTCCCGAGGAACAGCACATCCTCTCGGAGCTGGCCTGGGCTGACCCTACTCTCTAGCGGAAGTAGAACCACCGAGCTGCCGGCAGAAGCAGCAGCTGCTCGGGGAATATAGAGAGCTGGGGGAGCAAGCAACTGCTAACCTGGAAGGCTCCAAGAGGGAGAAAATGGGCTCTTTCTCTTAACCTCCCCCTTCTTCCAGCCCTTCCTTTGCTACATCCATTCCATCCTTCGTTGCTTTTCTTTCCTTTTCTCCCTTTCTACTTTTGCTGTTATCGCAACTCTCTCTTTCCTCTCC